GGCTATGTCTTCCTTATTTAACTCACCTAATTCAGATCATCAGCACGTTAGAAGGGAGATCCATGAACTGAACTGAGTGCATCAGATAAGAGAGACATACAAAATGTGCAGAGCAGTGGTCGCAGGACTGCAGTTGAGAACTGTCTTAAGAGACAGTCTTAAGGACAAATTATCGCAATCAATTATCACAAAATTATTGCAATATATTAGAATATTTATGTTTTGAGAGTGGGGATCATGTCTTATCCATTCGCTACATGACAGTAAAAACACACTCAGTTCTTCATTCGTGTATGCAAATAAAAAAATTCCAACACTGTCAATAAAATATATATATAAAAAAAGAGAGATATTTCTTTTGTCCAATGCCAATGCTTCCTTATTTCTATGTGTATTTAGTTTTAATGTAAAAAATAAAAATAAAGCAAACAAAATATAATAGAGCAAATAATGTTAATAATAAGGTCAATAAAATTCATTGAGACGGAGCTTTCAAATTATATTTCCTACTTCAGCCACCAGATGACAGCAACTAGAAGTCAAACGACGTAACGCTCTTAGGTTTGACAGTTAGACCTACAAATTGCTATTAAAAACGTTATTTGACATACTGGAAACACATCCGTGACATATAAAAAAAAACATGTTTATTGGTACAGGTACAGTAACAATGTAGGCTATGTAGTCCATACGTCTTTATAATCAACAACAAGTAGCTATAAACTGTTAAGACAAATCATGTACAGTAGCCTTAAAAATGTAAATCTAATTTAAATCCGAAAAGTAAGATCGATTACCACAGAGTTTGTAATCTGTAAACTCTGGCCGTATAGATCCACTTTCCTGCAGAGTTTAGTTCCAACCTTAATCAAACTCGCCTGCCTGTAACTTTCTAGCAATCCTGAAGACCTTTAGCTTGTTCAGGTGTGTTTGATTAGAGTTAGAGCTAAACTCACAAAGTTGAGAACCCCTGGATTACCACTTGGTTGACTGCTAACTAGTCAAACTAGCTCTTAAAACAGTGGTTCTCAACTCCAGTCCTGGAGAACCACTGCTCTGCACATTGTGTAGGCTATGTCTTCCTTATTTAACTCACCTAATTCAGATCATCAGCACGTTAGAAGGGAGATCCATGAACTGAACTGAGTGCATCAGATAAGAGAGACATACAAAATGTGCAGAGCAGTGGTCGCAGGACTGCAGTTGAGAACTGTCTTAAGAGACAGTCTTAAGGACAAATTATCGCAATCAATTATCACAAAATTATTGCAATATATTAGAATATTTATGTTTTGAGAGTGGGGATCATGTCTTATCCATTCGCTACATGACAGTAAAAACACACTCAGTTCTTCATTCGTGTATGCAAATAAAAAAAATCCAACACTGTCAATAAAATATATATATATAAAAAGAGAGATATTTTTTTTTGTCCAATGCCAATGCTTCCTTATTTCTATGTGTATTTAGTTTTAATGTAAAAAATAAAAATAAAGCAAACAAAATATAATAGAGCAAATAATGTTAATAATAAGGTCAATAAAATTCATTGAGACGGAGCTTTCAAATTATATTTCCTACTTCAGCCACCAGATGACAGCAACTAGAAGTCAAACGACGTAACGCTCTTAGGTTTGACAGTTAGACCTACAAATTGCTATTAAAAACGTTATTTGACATACTGGAAACACATCCGTGACATATAAAAAAAAACATGTTTATTGGTACAGGTACAGTAACAATGTAGGCTATGTAGTCCATACGTCTTTATAATCAACAACAAGTAGCTATAAACTGTTAAGACAAATCATGTACAGTAGCCTACAGCTTGATTAGACAATAAACAATTTAAGCAACAAGCATATATAGGCTAGAGTTATTTTAGCTTCGGTATATGTAGGCTATTTATTTAACAGTCACAAATCGTAGTTGGCGCAGTGGCCCCTTTAAATGAGCGCCGAGCACTTTACAGAATAGGTACCAGAAGATGTAGGCGAATAAACTGCGGCTGTTTTTGTTTTCTTTAGAAATGTGGATCAAAACAGCGTTCTAAACGGCAACATTGGCTACAAAATCAGTCTTTAAGCTACTGATATCCAGAGTTCATCGCACCTTCGCTTGTTCGTCCCGCTACAAGCCTGCGTATCTACACACAGCATCGCAAAAGGACGAAGAAAGTCCTTGTTGCCCTGTTCCTGAAAGGAGCTAATTTTCTTCCTTTTCATTGCTGATTCATATTGTAGCATTCACATAGCAGCTTGATGAGCTTTCTCCCTTCTCGCACTGAAGGTAAAACTCTGCCCCATGCCACAAAAGCACTCTTTAAAACGCTTAAAAAAATTGTTATATATAATTTCACTGACGTAAGAGTATAATATTTATGTTACAAATGACAAGGCCATCATTAATCTGTAAGAATTAACCATCATATTTTTTAATCATTTGATCTTTTATACTGAGAATATTTATTTATGCATCGCATATCTTGATAATTGTTATTATTTATAATTATTTGTTTTTTAAAAATCAGCTATTGCTGTCTGTTGAAAAAAATCATTAACTTAATTTTAATCATTTTATAATTCACATAAATCTATATAGTATAACCCGCTCTTAAAAACACCTGAATTGTTGTACTGCATCAAATTGAATATATATATATATATATATATATATAACTGGGATACACCATTACTAATTTAACGACTGACTAACCTAACTTTACTAATCATTAGTCTAATTATGAACAGATGTATCAGAGTTTATTTATACATAGATATTTATATTTAGATATTTAGAGAGAGATAACAGACAGGCAGACCATAAACTGACAACTCCACGTGCTGTTATATGAAACATGATTCTTCTCTGACACCTAGTGGTCTGAATCATCAATTACACACTTAAGGCATCAGTGGCCGGTTGCATAAACTTTTTTGAACAAGTCTTAAAAGTTAGTCATCTTTTTTTCAGTTACATAAAAATGTAAATCTAATTTAAATCCGAAAAGTAAGATCGATTACCACAGAGTTTGTAATCTGTAAACTCTGGCCGTATAGATCCACTTTCCTGCAGAGTTTAGTTCCAACCTTAATCAAACTCGCCTGCCTGTAACTTTCTAGCAATCCTGAAGACCTTTAGCTTGTTCAGGTGTGTTTGATTAGAGTTAGAGCTAAACTCACAAAGTTGAGAACCCCTGGATTACCACTTGGTTGACTGCTAACTAGTCAAACTAGCTCTTAAAACAGTGGTTCTCAACTCCAGTCCTGGAGAACCACTGCTCTGCACATTGTGTAGGCTATGTCTTCCTTATTTAACTCACCTAATTCAGATCATCAGCACGTTAGAAGGGAGATCCATGAACTGAACTGAGTGCATCAGATAAGAGAGACATACAAAATGTGCAGAGCAGTGGTCGCAGGACTGCAGTTGAGAACTGTCTTAAGAGACAGTCTTAAGGACAAATTATCGCAATCAATTATCACAAAATTATTGCAATATATTAGAATATTTATGTTTTGAGAGTGGGGATCATGTCTTATCCATTCGCTACATGACAGTAAAAACACACTCAGTTCTTCATTCGTGTATGCAAATAAAAAAAATCCAACACTGTCAATAAAATATATATATATAAAAAGAGAGATATTTTTTTTTGTCCAATGCCAATGCTTCCTTATTTCTATGTGTATTTAGTTTTAATGTAAAAAATAAAAATAAAGCAAACAAAATATAATAGAGCAAATAATGTTAATAATAAGGTCAATAAAATTCATTGAGACGGAGCTTTCAAATTATATTTCCTACTTCAGCCACCAGATGACAGCAACTAGAAGTCAAACGACGTAACGCTCTTAGGTTTGACAGTTAGACCTACAAATTGCTATTAAAAACGTTATTTGACATACTGGAAACACATCCGTGACATATAAAAAAAAACATGTTTATTGGTACAGGTACAGTAACAATGTAGGCTATGTAGTCCATACGTCTTTATAATCAACAACAAGTAGCTATAAACTGTTAAGACAAATCATGTACAGTAGCCTACAGCTTGATTAGACAATAAACAATTTAAGCAACAAGCATATATAGGCTAGAGTTATTTTAGCTTCGGTATATGTAGGCTATTTATTTAACAGTCACAAATCGTAGTTGGCGCAGTGGCCCCTTTAAATGAGCGCCGAGCACTTTACAGAATAGGTACCAGAAGATGTAGGCGAATAAACTGCGGCTGTTTTTGTTTTCTTTAGAAATGTGGATTAAAACAGCGTTCTAAACGGCAACATTGGCTACAAAATCAGTCATTAAGCTAGCCTACTGATATCCAGAGTTCATCGCACCTTCGCTTGTTCGTCCCGCTACAAGCCTGCGTATCTACACACAGCATCGCAAAAGGACGAAGAAGGTCCTTGTTGCCCTGTTCCTGAATCGTCAGAGAAAAAGGCGAATGGAAAGGTTTGCTATTCGAGCCATCGAAGAGCGAAAGCAACTTAAACGCATGAAAAACAGAGAGGATCAGCCGCGTGGAATGTCCGCATCCCGTCTGTTCACCGGCGCTCGAGCATCTCTGTGCAGCAGCAGCAGCAAACGGAGCAAAACGATGCTCAGCATGCGAATTAAAGGGACGGGGGTTGCGATCTTTTGGTTTGTTCAAGTACAATCTTAAAAATAAAGGTGCTTCAAAAGGTTCTTCAAGCGATGCCATAGAAGAACCATTTTTGGTTCCACAAAGAACCATTCAGTCAAAGGTTCTTTAAAGAACCATCTCTTTCTTGTGTTTTTGTAATCTGAAGAAACTTATTTCGCCACAAAGAACCTTTTGGGAAACAGAAAGGTTCTTCAGATGTTAAAGGTTCTTTATGGAACCATTTAGACAAAAAGGTTCTTCAATGGCATCGTGAAGCACCTTTATTTTTAAGAGTGTACTCTCATACTGACTCCTCCTGTGCTACTCGGAGCCCATGTGGCCAAGCCCACTGGGTTGAGATAGGTACCTATACCAGCAGGGGACCTATGTCTGTATAAAGGCTGACATAGTTTAGAAGCACCAGCAGTTGCTGGTCTTTAGCATCCAGGTCTTACAAACAGAGGAGTGGAACACACTGAACGACACAAATAATCATGTCTCACGCTTGGGATTATGGATCAAATGACGGTAAGAGCAGTTTTAAGGGTACTAAATGAACACTTTAGTCTTTAGTAAGTAATTAGAATTAAATTAATGTGATCATTGCTAAAAAGTGATCAAAGAACAGATATCTCGATGCATTATGATTTATTAGGTTACTCTGGGGGAAATTATTATTAAAATCAAATACAAGCAAAGTGCACTCTTATTAATGTTCTGGAGCAGTACCCTTTTAAAAGATAGCCTACTAATATGTACCATTTACATATAAATATTTACAGTTTAAATATTAATATGTACATTTAATGTAGTTTGATCCCTTTAGGGGGAAATAAGGTATAAAAGTGTACCTTTTAAAAGGGTTCTGCCCCAGTGGCAGCTTTTGTACCTTTTTTTGTGAGAGTGTGAGATAAATTGTGGCAGACTACTGTAGACTGTAAACAAAATGCTTTGTTGGTTTGTTAAGTGTGAATTAAAGAAAGAAAGAAAGAAAGAAAGAAAGAAAGAAAGAGACAGTAATATGAATAAAACAATCTGGATAAATGCACCAACAAAAGTCATTTCTAAATGTCAAAGCATGAAAAAGCTCCTCGAAGTAACAGCTGCACGTATCCACTCCTTTCAGTGTACATTTGCTGACCTTGAATCTTGCAAGGAATGTAAACACACTTTTGTTGTGCATCTAGGCACTAACTTTTTATCTTACTGTTCCGCGTTTCATCTTTTTGTCATTTCAGGGCCAGAAAAGTGGGCAGAAAGCTTTCCCATTGCAAACGGACCCAGGCAGTCTCCCATTGATATCGTACCCACCCAAGCACAAAATGACCCTTCTCTGAAGCAACTCAAATTGAAGTATGACCCCGCCACCGCTAAGGGCATCCTCAACAATGGCCATTCATTCCAAGTGGATTTCACTGATGACGACAACAGCTCAAGTTAGTATATTACTGCATTTAAATAACTGTTGTTCTTTATTTTCAACCTCTTAAAGCAGTATTAAACCTAATAAGATGCAGCCGTTTAGGAATTTATTTATATATTTCACGTGGAATAGGTATTTTCCATATAAACAAAGAAAAAATCTTGACCAAGGGCACATCAGGTACTCGCAGTCGTAACTATGGGTGCTCCAGAAAGGGAACAAAATATACAAAATAATAAGTGGATCCTGTTGTTGTGTAATATGATCCACTTATTAGGTATTTTCCATAGTTCTATTTTCATACAGTATTCATCAACATTCTGCAGATTTTGGTTGTGAAATTTTTTGGCTACACAGGGCAATGTTTTGGACCTTTTTAGCATATTCCTCTTTTGTCTTTGAATCTAATGAAAGTATTTAAAAGAAAACTGCAAGAAAAAACATTGCAATAATTCTTTCTTTGCATATCGAGTGCTAAAATGAAAAGAACTGGTGCATCTAAATCTGTCAATCATTACATATAGTATATAAACAGCTCAGCATTCAGCTACTGAAGTCTTTCATCACCACATATCCTGCCCTATTTCTATCCATTCATTACTAACTTAATTTATTATAGTAGTCCTGGGCAGCTTTTATTGCTCAAGTCGAGACTCAAGATTGAGCTCTACTGTATATCTCAGACAGCAAAGATTACATGAAATTGTGTGTTTCTCTTATTGTGTCCTTGTAGCCTACACTAGAACTTTTTCTCTCACTGAAATTCATTTCACTTTACTCTAGTTCATCTATAGTGAATCAACAAATGCTGTAAAACTGTTATGTGAGCAGTGGATGTGGATGTGGATGTGTTCTTTCCTCTGAAAGTGGAAATAAGGCACTAAGAGCTCTGTGTACTCAAGTGCTAATGTATTCTATTATGAGAGAAAGAATAGAGCCACATATCAATGCTGTATGCCATGGTCGGTCAATGAGAGCAACATGTGCTGAATTTTAATGACAATTTCAAGAGGGGACTCACACATATGCTTGGAAAAGAAACGTTTTAAACAGTGGTACAAAAACACCACTGAATAGAAAAAATTGAAAAAGTGTCTTAACAAACACTTTCTGCATACAAAATGCTTGCTGAAAAGAGAAGAAAGAAGTAGCTATTGAATATGTTAGGTAGTGAATACTGAACTGCACAAATAATATCTCAAGAAGTCCACTCACATTAACATTTTCTAACAGGCAATCTGTCAGTCTACCAGAAAAGAAGAAGAGGTTCCATGTCATTAAGGATGCCTAATATATATTTGTACCAAATTATCTGATATTTGAGATTTTAATTTATTTAATTTATTATTGTATTACAGTTGATATTGGATGCTTATGCACATTTATGGTTGATTTTAAGAGCCAACAAGGTAATATAGAATTTAAATATTGGCCAGTATTTATACACATAAGTTAGGAAAAATTAAAAAAATATGCTCAGCAAGTCTGCATTTATTTGGTCAAAAATACAGTACAAACAATTTAAAATAACTGTTGTGTATTTTAATATATTTAAAATTTTAATTAAAATAGAAAGCAGTTTCATGCTTCACAATATTAATATTTTACTGTATTTTTGATTAAATAAAAGCAGCCATGGTGAGCATAAGAGACTTAAATCCATTAAACTAATCAAAATTATTCCAAACTTTTGTAATATAGCCAATATATTTAATTAAAATATATGTGGAATGCAGTAGTGCATATATCTTATATTATCTTTATATTTTATTTGCATTGCTACAATGCAATACTTATGAGATCTGAGAATCTGAAATACAGTTATACAACATTAATGACTAATGATTTTTAGTGCTATTAAAGAAACAACTGAATGACTGAAATAATTGTTTGTGTGTGTAGCTCTGGCTGGAGGTCCCATCACGGGAATATACAGGTTGAGACAGTTCCATTTCCACTGGGGAAGCAGTGATGACAAGGGCTCAGAGCACACCATTGCTGGAACCAAATTCCCATGTGAGGTAATGAGACTCTCTCTTTCGCACTATCGCTCCCAGTACCACATTACAACTGAAGAGACCTTCATTATACAGTATTGTGGTTCAGGCCATTCTAATTCTTGAATGTCTCTCCCTTAAAACGAATTATAGCTCGCTCACTGCTCATGAATATTCTTGTGATGTTCTCTCATGAATTTGTTAATCCCCTCTTTTAAACACGTTGAGATATTAAGCTAATTCAGTGTGTTTTTCGCAAATACTGAATGTTTCATAACACGTCTCCTCCTTTCTAAAGCTTCATCTCGTTCACTGGAACACTAAGTACCCAAACTTTGGAGAAGCTGCCAGTAAGCCTGATGGCCTTGCTGTGGTTGGAGTTTTTCTCAAGGTCAGGATTTCAGCCAAAAGCATTTCAGGATTTGCAGTGATTAAATGATATAAAATGATGGATATGTTGTGTGGTTTTGTTTACCAGATTGGTTCCGCCAATCCAAGACTTCAGAAAGTGTTAGATGCTCTTGATGACATCAGATCAAAGGTATTAACATACTAGCTGTTAATTATAATCTTTATGAACTAGGATATTTACTCCTCCCACTTGCCTTTAGATGCTTTTATTCTTTTACAAAATGTCTGTTTCTTCTCCAGGGCAGACAGACTACATTTACCAACTTTGATCCTAAAACCTTGCTGCCCGCCTCTCTGGATTTCTGGACTTACGAGGGGTCTCTGACCACACCTCCTCTACTGGAGAGTGTCACCTGGATTGTTCTGAAAGACCCAATCAGTGTTAGTCCTGCTCAGGTACTTCATCATCATACTTTATCTGTGATGTCACATTTTCATTTGTGCAGGTACAATAATATACAGACATCTAGTTCTAGTCCATATCTTTAATATCTTATGCTATCTTGGGTCATTGTAACATGATTACGTCCACACATTTTTTGTTAATTTGTAAGGGGAATATGTTTTTTGCTACTTATTGAGTTGATAAGTTAAATACCCAATATGTTTAAATACCCAAATCAAATACAGTCTGCTTTGTAGTATGATAACACAAATGTGGTCTCAGCATTTAACATCACTTATACTTTTAAACTGGGAAGGTCATTGCTCCATATGTTTCTGCTTCTACAAGATTACTTTATCTTAAATATAGTGCTTGCCTGACAGTTAATATCACATTTAAGTCAGGCTTGTGCCTTTAAGATAGAAACCAACACCCATACATTACATTACATACATATCTTCATTACTGGAGATGAAATAGGGCCTCATTGCAGTCTAGTCTTGTTTATATATGAAGGATCACAAGACTGTCAGGATCATGGACCTGTTTTATGTTTTGCCCCTGTTCTGTTCCTGTGTTCCCTTTTTTTCATATGTTTCTGCTTCTACAAGATTACTTTATCTTAAATATAGTGCTTGCCTGACAGTTAATATCACATTTAAGTCAGGCTTGTGCCTTTAAGATAGAAACCAACACCCATACATTACATTACATACATATCTTCATTACTGGAGATGAAATAGGGCCTCATTGCAGTCTAGTCTTGTTTATATATGAAGGATCACAAGACTGTCAGGATCATGGACCCGTTTTATGTTTTGCCCCTGTTCTGTTCCTGTGTTCCCTTTTTTGGTCATGTTCCTGTCCTCGTTTAGTTAATTAGTCATTCTGTGCACCTGTGTTAAGTAATTATCCTTTGTATTTAAGTTCCTGTTTGTTCAGTCTTCCTTTGTTGGGTCTACTTGTTGTAAACGTCTTCCTTGTGCTCTTTGACTCCCTGTTGGATTATTAAAGACTCTCGTTTTTGTGAAATCTCATGTCTCCTCGTTTCTTCATGCCCGTGCTCCAGCGAATTGTGACAGAAGACCCGACCGAATACAGTTACCTCTGTGTGTTCCCTCCGTTTTTGTTTCTGTTTTTCCTCAGCGTTTTTTATTTCTGTTGTTTCTATGGATCCCCTCTCCTGTCCGGAATACCTCCTCCTCCTGCTGGAGCAGGGGGAGAGATCACTCGAGGGCCATACCAGACTGTTCCTGGTCAACTCTGCTCTAACCAGCTACCCGGACGACGCGCTCTGTGCATTCTACGATGCCAGTTTAAACATCTCGTGCAGAGCGCTGTCATCCGAAGATGGTCCTCGAGCGAATTTCACCGCCTTTGTGGAGTTGCCACTGGCGAGAAATGGATCTCCGTTCCAGTTCCACTCCCGACCCAGTGCCCAGCCCACCATCTCCCCAATGTGCGGAGTGCATGCCCGAGCCCACCGCTGACGGAGAGCTGGAGCTGCAAATGACATCAGTCAAGGTGTGTGAGCCGGCAACAATGCCCGCCACGAGGGAGAAAGCCGCGGATGGTGTGAGTGCGGAGAGGAGCTCCGCCCCCTGCACCGCAGCTGAGGGAGAGCTGTGTATGGCGCGGCGACTGTGCCACACCGAAGAGGAGAGGGCTCCCGTTCCTAAGTTCTGGCCTGAAAGCCCTTAGGCTTACAAATGCCCGCCCTCCCACCCGCTCCTGCCTCATCCTCCACTGTCGTCTGGCAGCCCCTCTGCTCGCCCTCAGCCCACCATCTTTGTGGTGCGAGCTCCGCGGGACTGCCATCCTCCAGCGTCTCCGTGGTTGGAGTTTCCCTTGACTCCGCCTCCAGCCTCTAAGCCCCGGACTCCGCCTCGGCCCGTGGACCCGTCGGCTCCACCATGGCTCCTAGCGCCGTCCTCTCTGCCATGGCCCGGCATTCCACAAGCTCCACCGGGCTCCCTCGTCCCTCCGGCTCCGCCTTGGTCTGGCGTCGACCATCCTGCACCTCGGGAATCCACTCCTCTGGTTTCGCCTCGTTCCTTCGTCCCTCCGGCTCTGTCAGGCTCCTTCATCCCCTTGGCTCTTTTCAGTCCTCTGTCACTCCGGCTCCACTGCGGCCTCCCGGATCCACGCCTTCGGTCGCCAGCGCCATCTGCTCCGACTAGGACCTCCGGATCCTCCCCGTCGCCCTGGCTCATCGACTCTCCGTCTCCGCCTCGGACTCCTCCACCACCTACCCTGCACAGTTGGTCAGCCCCCTGGAGTCGGCGGCCATTCCTCCTCCATGGCTCCTCCCTCCATCGGCTCCACCGTGGGTCACCATCATGGCTGTGGCCTGGGTCCTGCTTGGCTCCTCCTGCTCCAAGTTCTTCCTATTTCCTCCCTGGCTCCTCCCTCCGTCTGATCCCCCCTGGCTCCTCCTGTTTCCTCCCTGGCTCCTCCCTCCATCGTCACCTCCCTGGTCTCTTTCTGCTGGCCCCCTCCCGGGTGTCCGTCCTCCTCCTGAGCCGCCTCTCAAGTTCCCACCTGTTAGCCTGCAGGGCTTATTTTAGTCTCCAGTGGTTAGTCAGAACAGTCTAACGGCTGCACGGGAATTCTGGCATGTGCTCTATGAATGTGCATGAAGCTAAATATAGTAAATAAAGGGTGTATTAAAGCTCTGCAAGACTGCCAACAACACATTAAACACCACAATCCAAGAGAAAATAATCTAACTGTCTCTCTCTCTATCTGTCTGTTCTTCAGATGGCTAAGTTCCGTAGCCTTTTGTTCACATCTGAAGGAGAGGCACCTTCCTGCATGGTTGACAACTTCAGACCCCCTCAGCCTCTCAAGGGGCGCAAAGTCCGTGCATCCTTCAAGTAAACAGCAGTATGGATGCCACAACCCTCCCACTGCCTTCTGATCATGGTGCTTTTGAATGGTTCACAAAAACATTCCCAGTGAAACTGCTACTAAAATATAACATACCCTTGCTTACATTGCAGTGTTGATAACAAGAAAGCTGAATCTGCTCTTTGAAAACGGTCTGTTTTTGTCATAAATGCTTATATTATTACTTAACATGAGAAATAGTATTTAAAATGCTTATATACTCAGTGCTTAATAACAATGGAAGCCCCAGCTGTAGAAACAGTGGTTTGTTAACTAAACTGGACAAATGGGAGAATATTTAATTCCCAGTTCATCCCAGTTTGTCTTTGATTGCTCCACTTCACACTTTATTTCTAGCTTTACAGAATTGTACTATACTCCATGTTATTTAATAGGAAAGACATCATGGTTCTTTTTGTGTTTATGGCAATGGGTGAATGTCAGTTAAATGTTTAACTGGTTGTATGTATTGAAGCTGAAATACCTACAGGAAAGCACTTATTAACAGCAATATTTGTGTTTTATTATTTCATTATTTTAATTTCTTTTAAAATTAGTTTCTAGGAATGTTGTACCATGATGTTCTGCCATAGATACTATGATATCGATATTTCAAAATGAAATTGAGTAGTATTGTGAATAAATATTACATGTAAAGCAGTCATATATTAGGAATTTTATGAGCAATAAATCAATATATTTTAAACTATACTTCCTATGATTGTTTTCTGTCCACTGCACAATGCATCATATTAGTGATACGCATAAAATATATAGTCCAGTCATGAAACTCTAGATGGCGCAGGTGACTGGTTGTAAATGTAACTGATGATATTAGGAAAGACATCATGGTTCTTTTTGTGTTTATGGCAATGGGTGAATGTCAGTTAAATGTTTAACTGGTTGTATGTATTGAAGCTGAAATACCTACAGGAAAGCACTTATTAACAGCAATATTTGTGTTTTATTATTTCATTATTTTAATTTCTTTTAAAATTAGTTTCTAGGAATGTTGTACCATGATGTTCTGCCATAGATACTATGATATCGATATTTCAAAATGAAATTGAGTAGTATTGTGAACAAATATTACATGTAAAGCAGTCATATATTAGGAATTTTATGAGCAATAAATCAATATATTTTAAACTATACTTCCTATGATTGTTTTCTGTCCACTGCACAATGCATCATATTAGTGATACGCATAAAATATATAGTTCAGTCATGAAACTCTAGATGGCGCAGGCGACTGGTTGTAAATGTAACTGATGATATTCAGAGAGTTAAACGACTTGGCACAAGTTCATGCTGCATATGCAGCCAAAGAGCTTACTGCCTTTCATTTATATGGCTGGCTAGCATTCACTAGAGAATCCTGCAGCGTACTTTCAGAGTTTCTCTGAAACCCTCCACCTTCCCCAGCTCCACCTGTATAGATCTGCTACGGGTTATTTATATGCTATTTGTGCAGCAGCAGTATGTCTTAAATACTCATGGCACCGTATCACTGTGTGCATTGGCAGTAGCAAGGTCCTGTACTTGCTTGCAGCAGCAGCAATAATCTACAACTACAGCAATAACCAACAGCAGCAGCAATTCAGTGGCAGCGTAGCAGATCTATTCTGCCAAGACCAAATACATTAACATTGTCATATCCATCACCATGTTAAATCTTCCGAGAGTTGTCATGACTGAACTGATGTTAACATCAGCTGTAATACATAACTGAGTTTTTTATACTTTACAAAAAGATCAAACCTAATTAACATTAGTTAATCCATTAGGTATCATAAATTAACAATGAAAATAATTTTGCACAACATTTACGTAATTTAATGCTACTTTATAAATATACTATCACTCAATTTTATTACTATTTGATCATTATATATTAGTTAATTTATACTTAAATTATATAAATTTATTCATTTAACTTAACATTAAATATGTACACTATACCATTCAAAATGTTAGGGTTAATACGATTTTTTAAAATAAATAAATACTGCTATTCAGATACGATGCATTAAATTGATCAAAAGTGACAGTAGAAACGTTAATAATATTACAAACTATTTTTATTCTGCTGTTCTCTAGGACTGACCTATTCATCAAAAAATCCTTAAAAATAATGTTTCATGGTTTCCACAAAATATGTTAAGCAGCACAACTGTTTTCAGCATTGATAATAATAAGAAATGTTTCTTGAGCTTCAAATCAGCATATTAGACTACATTAATAAATACTGTACAGTACAAGTATTGTTCATTATTTATTGTTAGCTACTGTAATAACAAATGCTACTGTATAGAACTGTATATCACTACTGTTACTGAAGAATAGACTGTCACTTAACATCACACATTCAAGACAATTCACACTTCTGTGTTCCTGACCAAAATTGAAAAAAATAATTTTTCCCCCTAAAAATTTATTATTACTAATATTGTGGTAATTTGAAGTGTCTAGCTACTGTAATTCGATAACATTGAAGACCAGTTTCAGGAACTTTGTCCTGTGCAAAAGAGCTAAATAACAGATTCAGCCGAGCATAGAAGCTGTACTGCAGACAAATATGTGAGTTTTACCACAAATAAAACCTGTTCTGCTTTTCACATGGCTGTTTGACAAAAACACAGCTATAGAATGAACCTCTTCCTCATGCTAGTTTCTGCTAACTGAAGTTTGAAGTAATTTTTAAGAACCATTTCAACCATTTTCTGATGTCATATTTCAAAATGTTAAAATTTTGTTGTGAAATTTCAGCAGTAAAAAAACTATTATATCTGTCAAATACTCTCCAGTCCATGTCAACTCTGTGCACTGTTATCATGGAGAAATAGAGAGATCATTACCCAGAGATCCTGTCATACAGGCTGAGAGAGGCCTTTTTCTTGGAAGCTGGCACATCACCAGAGATGAGCGCAGTTTTGGATGCTGGACAGCGTCTCATTAACACATGGCTAATGCTCTTTGTGAGTGTCCAGCCTTACTTACGCAACCCATGCTTTGCTGGGTACACATTCTCATGGCAGTCTTGAATCTGGGTTGGCATCACCTAAGGTGGTACAAAGCAGACAACATTTAGCAGTACAATCCACTGCTGCTGCCTTGCAGAAAACCCCTCAACATAAGAGCTTCTTGGGAGCCTGAGTGACAAATTACTTACTATTATTAATTACATTCCATCTACATCTTTGTACAATTAGTCTAATGGCTGTTCTTACTAAAACCCTGCCCTTACTGGAAAAAATAAAACATAGGAGGAGTGCAGTGACAAAATGGAGAAGGAAAGTAGATGAATAGATTAAGCATGAGTTGGAGATGAGTGCACAACAAAACAATCAACAAAATCACTGGGATAAAGACAGAGGAGGATAGAAAGACCAAATACAGGAAGGGAAAAGGAGTCAGAAAAGCAGCAGATTAAATGGCACGGAGCATGACAAAAGAAAAAGCAGAAAGGTAATGAAATAAAACGCAAACAATTAAGATATGTGCAACAACCACATGCCGAAATATTTTAAAGCTGCTTTTTGCCATGTACATTAAACTGCTGACAGATGAATGACTGCATCACAAACTGAGTACAACATTCTCTACAAGAGGACATGAATCCATACACAAATGCATGCTGTTTGCATTTACTGTAACCAGAGGCGGACAGTAACTAAGTACATTTACTTGAGTATTGTACTAAAGTACACTTTTTGAGTATCTGTACTTTACTTGAGTATTATTTCTTCTGGAAACTTATGAATTTAACTTCACTACATTTGAAAGACAAATATTGTACTTTTAACTCCACTACGTTTCTATGAAGGTCCTCGAAGTAAAACTTCGTTACTAGCAGCTTTGAAAGTCAGTGGGTGATGTTTTTCTTCTCTAAAACTTGACTTTCTTTTTTTCAGACAGTTTATCAGGAATCACTCTTGTAGGGCTACATGAAGTGATTTCCCATCATTTTTTGAACACTGACCAGTTCCAAATGTTATATTTATTTACAATTCAATAATAAGAAGTTAATATTGTGGTATATATTAGATACAATATTGTCTGATTTTGCTAAATTGTGTAAGTGAAATATTACCTATAATGCCACAGAAGAACTGTTGTGCGTCTCCTAATAAAACACAATAGGTGTTGGACTTGAAGCAGCACTGCACAGACTGTTCTGTGTGTGACATCAAAGTACTGCAAGAGTGATAAAAGAGCATTTTTAAAATGTTTGTTTTGATGACAAATAAGTCTGTTGCTGTTTTGCTTTTTTGTTAAAGCAGTGTTACTGTTGTAAAGCTATACAGCAACAGTTGTGTTGCTGGGTTTTAAAGCATGTTTGACTTTTTTTTATCCTTATTACTCTGTTTTTACAGCAATTTCACTGTCCACTCTGTTCAAATGTGGATGAATGGCTACACATAGATGTGTTCAGAGCTGTGTGAGATCACTACCATCCTGCTTTTGTGGGGGTGGGTAGGGGTGTTAAATGTTTTTTTGTTTTGTTTTGTTTTTTTCCCCATAGGTTTTTAACATTCTAAAAGCTCTTTATTCCAAAGATATTACAAGCTAGTCAGTGTATTCAGTATTGTAAGTTATTTCAGAGGTATTGCAAGTATTACATACAACAATAATAAAACAGTGCATTGACATAAAAATTAAATTTACTTTTGGTACTTTAATACTTTTAAAATCAAGTACTTCTGTACTTTTACTTAAGTAAAAATCTGTCTTTACAACTTTCACTTGTAATGGAGTAATATTTGACCAGCAGTCTCTGTACTTTCACTCAAGTAACAGAGTTGTGTACTTTGTCCGCCTCTGACTGTAACACATAATTACACACAGCAAAACAAAATGTGAAATGCTTTGAAGAAACAGGCTTGTTGCACATATCACAGCAACACGTTATTACAAGTATTTCTGCTTCACTCCACAAATAATGCGGTATAGTACATAATAGTCCCTTAAGAAGACCTGCTATTGTGTTACTTTTTCCATTACAGGAATGCAAATCCCAAAGCATGGCATGGCATGCAAATCGAATAGAATAGAAATGAAATACAAAGATTAATTCATATTACACAAATGAAAAATAGAAAATCTGAAAAAGTGACCAGATTGTAAAACTGTATAATTTAGTTTTTCAGAAAGAAAGAAAGAAAGAAAGAAAGAACTAGCAGACAAGGTGCTGATCAATATTCAACTGTGATGACATACAGAAGATGAAAATGCTCTCCAAGCTACAGAATTTACAAGACTAGCTTTATTTATTTTTATTTTATTTTATTTATCCTTTTTTATACCAGGAATTATCCCATTGGGATATCTCTTTTACCAGGGAGTCCTGGCCAAAATGGCAGCACAGAAAGTTTCACACAAACAGATTACAAACACATAAATCACATAAATATAAAAATATAATAAAGAATAAAATCGTATCCAGCATCATATGAAAAAAAAATGTATGTAAAAAATTCCAAGTTCCCTTTCAAGGGAACTTCGAACTGCGTCCTCTAGGGGGTGCTACGGGGAACGCCTCGTCGTGACCCGTGTCTGAAGCATACATTGAAGAAACACCAACAACACGTTGGCCGGCGACAGCCCATGAGGTCACTACCG